TAGTCTTACCAAAAAAAGATCTAAATTTCGGTGGGAAAGCAGACAGATGAGCTAGACTGCACTGGCACTTAGAACTCAAGTCTAACCACCAGGAACACATTTTGTTCCCAATGTACAAAAATCTGCCAATATTTTTCCCTATGCCCGCCTATCTAACAGTTCAAAACTATCAACCTCAGAGAATAATATAATTCTTTAAGTCCCTTTATTAAAGAAAGCCTAACCACTAGATGCACTGGATATATACAAAAATGACTAGGAAATCTGGTAAAGAACGACAGGATGCCAATTGCTATTTACAATAGTTTTCTTGTCTTCTTCCTTTATGCTCTATTCCTGGAACTTTCATCTTCAATAGTCAATTTTAAATCAATGCTCTGTCTAGACATGACTGTTATAACCTAACAGAATTAAATCTACCACAGAGGAAGTCTAATATGGGTCCATCAGTGGCAATAAATCCACTCACAGGTCTGGTCAAATTTTGGCTTAAACAGACAATGAACAAATAACAATAAGAGATTTTTCAAAGCAGTGAAGAGTTAAGGAAAACCTTGAATATGAAAAAGAAAATAAGAGCAATATGAAGTTCAAACCATTTGGTGTGAGGTTCAAACCAGTGAGGTTCACTACTCTCAAATATGTGTGATAGTCTAAAACCCAGCAAATGTAAGAATAGTGGGAAGAACTATGAAGGGGCTAGAGAGATGGCTCAGCAGTTAAAAGCACTGGCTGCTCTGCCAGAGGACCAGTATTCTGTTCCTAGCACCCACATCAGGCTAACAGCATGTCTATAACTCCAACTCACGTACCCATACCCACTTACAGATTCACATACCGACATATAATTAAAAATAATAAAAATGAAATATTTTTTAAAAGGACAATCTGATCTTAAATATCCTAGATTCTCTTCTGAATGTTGTAGTGCCATATATTTTAAAGAGTTTCTCTGCAATTCTCATCTTGCCTGGCTAGCTTAAGTTTTTTAAACCCAGAGTTCAAAACAAGGTAAATATTTATTAATTACAATCAAGATTTAACCTTAAAAAGGACAAAGGTCTTTAAGGGATCGTAGGATATTACTTGGGGGCGGGGGCTAAAGGAACGTATTGATAACCAAAAGCCAGCTAATTATTCTCAAGAAAATTATACAATCAAGAAATCATTTTTTAAAATTTTAAAGTTAGGTAAACAAAAGAAATATCTTTTTTAAAAAAGGAACTCATCTAACCCTAACCCTAAACCTAACCCTTATACCTTGGAATCATTTAGGGACTACATTTATTCTATCTATATGATAGCACACATACACACAGGCACCATGTTTAGCACACACAGCCCACAGTCACGCAGTTCCAGGATTTCAATCAGAATAACAAGAATGATCCTAAGAAATGAATACCATGAAAAAGAATATCAGATCAAAAACAAATATGGCTCATCATGTCTATGAGCAACTGTCTTCAGGAACAGTCAGAATAGGTTGCTGAAACACTTATTCTTAACAGTCAGCAAAATACTGTAAATGAAGTATATTGGAATGAAATAATGTATATGATAAGAACTTCTTTCCTAATTTTATCATATTCTAAATTTAAGAGATAATGAAAACTTACAACCAAGTCACCTGGAGATCACCAACATCCTGCACTATAACTGACTTTGATGGGAGGGAGCCCACAGCTCTTTCACTAACGTATTAATGACTTTCAAGGTTAAGAATTTAACAACTGGTTTCTCAGTCTGAGCACTGCTGACATTCTGAATGATAACTCTTTGTTGCAGTAGCTGTCCTGTGCAATGAGAACGGTCGGCAGCATCCCTGCCCTCCACCCACTAGATGCCAGTAGCATCCCCTCCCCAGTTTTGACAAACAAAAATTTCTCCAGATGTCACTCCAGCATGAGAAGCACTAGCTCAAATCATAAACAGGAAAAATGTCAAAGTGGAATGGGGGATGGAGAATTTGTTTTGGTTTTTCATCTGGTCTGTATGTTTCAGCATATTACACCAGGATTTGACAACATAGTTGTAAACAGACTTCTGCCTTTAAGAAACAAAGCACTGGGGCTGAAAAGATGGCACATAAGAGTACTTGCTGTTCTTCCAGAGGACCAGAGTTCAGTTCCTAGCACCCACATTACGCAGTTCATAACTAATTGCAGAGGCTCTAACACCTATGTCCTCCATGCATTCACGTGCAAATGTCCACGAGTAGACACACACCTACATGTAAGACTTTACAAAAGAAAACACATGTACTATCACTTGCTAGTCAACGTTCAGAAGCCCTAGATTATACTATCAGTTCTCCCTCCAAGCGCACAATGATGCCTAGCTATCAACTACTGTATTCCTGCTCTTCTGTTGTGAATATACTGACCATACTATTCATTCCCAGTTCACACACAATCCAACAGAATCCTCAACTTCATAGCACCCTAGCTTTAGCACCCTAGGTAGGCTAAAACCTCTGTATGGGCAATGTTAAATTCATCCTCACATTTTTACAAATTGTGAGAATAGACGAAAATTTAGCCATGATGTTTCAAACAGTAAAAAGCAGATTTGTGTTTTGAAACAGACTCTGAAAAAGGATGAAGAAGAATAAAAAATTATAAAATCATAGGGAATCTGAAGGCATTCCAGGATGAGGGCAAAACTTAAAATGTTTCTCCTGGAATGAGAGCAAGGAGAAAATTATACACTTGGCCATATCCTACAGGAATAGTCTGCATAATCAGTCTCCATAGCACATACCATGGGATGGAAGCTGAAAAAAACCAAAGTCTAAAAAACACTGAAAAACCAGCAACCATTTACCCTTCCTGAACACCTAGAATAAACATGTTCCTGTTTCCCATTCGATTTTTTTTAAAGTCAGATACCCAGACACAAACTGGTAATTTAGTAAATTACTTAATTCTAATAAAAATAGCCACCCTCTGCTTCCAGTGCCAGATTTCACATTACAGAAATAATCAATTAGAAAACATACCGCACACACACACACAAACACACACACCCTTTTTAGAGTGTATTTCATTTGTAACAGTCCTTTTCTACAAAAATCAGACATTTTAAGCACAAAGTAATCTTCATATATCAATATGGATTATAGTTTTTCCAAATGATTTCAATGGATTATCTCTATGTTCTGTAAGAGACAAAACTACTCTATTTCAAAATTTTTGCTATTAATCTGCAAGCCCAGTGAAAATAATCATAAATGGAACTACTGCTCAATTCTTTTTCCTCCCAAGCCAAGCAGAGGAAGCTGTAAGATCTGTAGGGTCAGCTTGCTTTTCCAGGAGCAATACCTTGGGGCTGCTCAAGAATAACCTCCTTCATCAATTAACGAGACTCAGGTGGATATGGAAAAGAATAACGTTCACAACCCTTGGTCAGTGGCCATGATGCCCCTCCTCCTCAAGGGCAGATCAGGAAAAAAAAAAAAAGGAAGCTTTGACCAGGAGTTTACCAGCCACACATATTGGGGGGGGGGGGGGGGGAAACGACACTGGGAGGGAGAAAAACTACAGGGTTAAATCGTTTCACAAAAGCAAAATGTTTAACATTACCAAGGCTTTCATTCATTTCAGACACCATTGTTTAGCTTGCTCTCTAAACCGAGCACAAAAAGAACTGTCCGCCTGCCTTAAGCATGTTCCTTCTTCCATTTAAACAGACATGATTCTTTTGGTTAATCTCTGGCAATGATCGCCATTTCACAACACATTCAGCCCACCCGGAACTGATCAATACCACTACAGACATAAGACTAGACTTTATCCATTTATTAACCACAAGGAAATGTACCATTCAGCAAAATCCTATACATTACAAAAGAGTCTATTAAAAGGGGGGTGGGGTGGGGAAGATGGACACACACACACAACAGCGAGGTACACAAAGAAAAGACTACCTTCTAATTTCCCCGTGACATACGAGGCAACCACATAGCCAGGAAGCATGTCAATTTGTCCCCCACCCCTATTCTCTGCCACAACCTAGTAAACATACGCTGACTGTTTATAATGAATGCATTCACGGTGACTTTTAAACTGTTCCATCCCTCTAACTAACTCTCCTGTTAACTGCATCCACACACCTTCTGGCTAGATGTATGCCTTTTCAGAATTTCAAGTACAAAAGCCTAGTTTTTCCAACCACTGGTTGCAACCATACAGCATCCTCACAGAATAAAATTCTCGGCTATGAAAATGGCCAGAGTATTCTCCTAACCTTGGACCAAAATACATCTCACAAGAACAGCACACTTAACATGAGCACAATTTTCCCATGCCCTGTTCCAAACTGAAAACAATGCGTCGGTACAAAGCGTTTAAAAGAAGTATTCCATAGGTAAGCAGAATCTACGCCTGAAAAGAGCACACAAATGGTGGGTGAGAGCCAGCACACACCACCAGCAAGCACACAGCAGCCTACCTCTCCTGCACTCGGTTATGGCCAATACTCCGGCAACTAAAACTATTTTTAACACTGCTGGACAATGAAGTTGGGAGAAGACGTGAGAGGAGACCTAGATTTAATAGCTGATAGGATGCATTGTTTCTCACAGTCAAAATTAAACACCAACTCACTTGATCTATGTCTTGATAGGCACCGGTGAAGCACTAATTAGACGACGACCAAAACCGGTCCTTGTTTTGGAAGCTGAGGCTAAAGGACGTGTCAGAAAACTCCTTTTGGGTCTCAACCTTTACATAAATTTTCACTTGTGGTATTTGCGGCTTAACAGCAACCCGACCAGCGCTGTCATCGAGTTTTTCGGCCACAAACCACGACTTTCTTACTTGCACAACAACACAGCACTCAATCTCTCAGTTCTCCAAACCAACCCAAAACAAGTGGAATTCCTGGAGCTTTCCAGACTGTCGGGCTGAGGGGTCGGGCGCGGGAAAAGCCTCGGCCCCGGGAGCTGCCCAGCCGACGGCGGCCGGCCACAGCCCCGCCGCGCCGGCTCCTCCACCTACCTGAAGAGCAAGAGATAAGAAAGACGGCGAACGCCAACTTTGCAGCAGCTCCCATTTTCCCGAGGCGCCGGGGAAGCCGTAGGAAGTTCTCGCTAGATATCCAGTTCCCTGGGTCTTCCTCGGAGACAAACCTCCTGGTGTAAAATCAACCGTCATAAAACATATTCGGAAGCCCCGGGGCGGGGGGGAAGGGGGTGACCAAAAAACAAAAACAAAAACAAAAACGTTCACAGGGTTGAAAAGAGAGAGAGGGGGGAAAAAAGGCACAACAATTTAAAAAAAAAAAAAATGTACCACGGGAGAAAAAAAAAAAGAAAAAAAACCGCCACACACACGCACAACACACGAAACCAAACAACGGAGAGCCAACAACAACAAAAGCGGGTTGAAATCACTGTCAAAATCACTGTCAGCTCCGCTCGCCTCTCGCGTCTCCGCGAACAAAACGCCTGGCTGGGGCGACGAGGCGGCGGCGGCGCCCGCAGCCGCCCGGACGGTCCGGGAGCCGAGCTGCTCCGACGTCCGGACCGACCTTCAACCCGGACACCCAGAGTCCGCGGGACCACGGTCAGCCGAGCTGGCGGCGGCGGCTGTGCGAGGCGGCGGCGGTGCGAGGCGGCGGCGGGAGACGGCGGTGCGAGGCGGCGGCCAAGTTCTGGTCCAGGCTGTGGCTCCGGCTCCCGGCTCCCGGCTCGGCCGCGTTTTCGGTCTCCTGGCCTCCGCCGGCCCCGCCCCCTACACTTCCGGTTCCGGCCCGAAGCTGGAAGCCAGGCGCAGCGGAGAAACGCTCCGAGGCGGCGGCGGCGGCGGCGGCGGCGGGAGCGGCGGCGGGAGCGGCGGCGGGGCGCAGCGCGCGTGCCGGGCGGCGAGCGCGAGGAGATCGCCCGAGAGGCGGGGCGAGCCGGAGGGGCGGGGCCGGGGCCGGAGCGCGCTCTGCGAGGCCTGCGGGACCCGGGACCGAGCGGACGGCCCCGTGGGCCCTGCAGATCCCGCCCGCGGCCCCCGGAGGCGCCCGGCGCTGCCCGGCTCGGTGCCCGCCCGGGCGCGAGGAGCCGCGGCGCTCCCGAGCGGGATGGGCGATGCCGAGGCCGACTGCGGCGCCCAGCCTTTCCTCTGGGGGACGCCGAGGCCGCGCCGAGCTGCTCCGAGTGGGCGGGAGCCGCACCCGCTGCTGCCCGAGCGAGCTCGGTGCTCGCGAGCCGGCCGCGCCCCCGCCGCCGAGGCCTCCCAGCGTTTGTCTTTGGGCTGAAAGAGAAAGGCAGGGAGGGCTGGGAGGGCTGTCCACCAGGACAGGACACCCTCGCCTGTTAGCACGAGTGTGCGGTTCGAATCCTTTCCACCATGCCTTGTATACACAAAGCATTGTGTTGCAGACAGATTTGTTCGCTCGCAGTTGGTTTGAAAAATCTTTATAGGCTTGAAGTAAAAATTGCACATTTCGATGGAATGTGTTGGACGGTCAGAGAAGTGGGTATTGTCAATTCTTAGCCTCTTGTAAGACCTATTTTTACCTTGTAAGCCGTGTTGAAGTGTTTGCCCGGTGCTCAATTAAGCACCGAAACAAATACAAAATGTTAAAATGTGACCCCTATCTTCAGAAGCTCGGCTATTTGGGATATTAGAAGTTAGCCATACCATGCAAAAAATGACTGTTAGAGTCAATAGGTCTGTCATTTACCACAGTTTAGTATAATAAAAAGGGAGATCTTGTCCATTTCCCTCACTTTATCCCTGCACCCTGAAGAATGTGACAGGAATGTTTCCTCTGTAGATAGGTAAATACCTAGACGTTTGCCTTTTTTTCTTAATACAATAACCTCTCTGTAGTATATAGTGCTTGGGTTGTTTTGTTTTGTTTTAATATAAAAAAAAAGCAACTATCAGATGAGTAAGTTTGAGTGTGCACTGATTCCCACATTTTTCCACAAACTCAAGCCTTCTCACTTGTATTTATGTTTTCTTTTTCTCTTCCTATAAACTACTCTATATTTCTGTCTATTAAGTACATCCTATAATTATCTGCCTATTTCTACAACTTGTCTGGGTTAATAATCATTGTAGCTCTTTAAACTCTCTCCAAGATTTCCAGTTCTCAAGCCCTGCTCAGAATTTCATGGCATTACGCAACAAAATCCCAAACTGGTCTTCAAGATGCCTCAGTAATCGCATGTAGTTCTGCAAAAATTTAAACCGGTCAGAAAGCCGGAGTTGCCCCTCTCAGCTCTAAAATGAAAGAGTGTATTTACCTTAGAACCAACCGCCCTCCATTGTTTCAGGGATTTGATGGATCAGGCCCAACTGTTATGTCCCCACTGCATTGCCTCAATATTTCTTAATTACTAAAATCAGAGCAAGCGAAATAACAAGAAATAGTTGCAAATACAGTCTCTCTCTTGCCTCCTAATTTGCCATGTGAGTGAGCATAAAATTATTTTCAATAGTAATAAAGAAGAACTTAAGACAAATTCTGAGGCTGAGCATTCTTGTCAAACAAAGAGTTAAAGTGAACCCATGAGAGAAATTACTGTCATCCACTAACAGGCATTCTGTTTTTAAATGTGCTTTGGGGAGGTACCAGGACGGGTCTTATGTAGCTCAGGCTAGCTTCAAATTTCCTAGAGAGCATAAGATGACCCTGAACTTCTGATCCTCCTGCCTATAGTTTATAATTGCTGGAATTACAGACATGAACCGCCATGCCATATTTATGTGGTCCTAGGGATCCAATCCAGAGCCTATGCATGCTTAGCAAGCAAATGAGCTCTATTCAGAGCCCAGAATGTGCATGTTTTTAAAAATCCAGAAAAAAATGGCTCTAAAAGACAGTATTACTAATTTTCACTACAGTTCTAAAGCTCAGAATGAAAATAGAAATAGCTGAAACTCTTAAGTCTGCCCTTCTTTCTCCATATTTTTTTTTTTTAATTTTGACCACTTTCTACAAATACAATGTATTTTGATCATACCCACCCCTAAAGGTCTCCATCCCACTTCTTGGTCCCCTTAGTCAATGCCTCTCCCACGTTCATATATATATGAATCTCCTAACTGAATCTAATTAGTGCTTTCTGCATAGCATAAGCAATTGAGCAATCCACCAGTAGCCATATCCCTGAAGAAAAACGACTCCCCATCTTTCCAGCACCCTTCAGTTGTCAATGGCTCCTCAGCTAAGGCCTCATGAGTCCCCTCTGCCATCAAGATTTGGATGGCTGGATCTTGCAAGTGTTACTGTAGCTGCTCTGACCTCTAGGCCATGTCCAGAAGATAGTATTGCCCATCACTACCTCCTCTGGCTGTTTGATTTCTCCTGTCTCCTACACCATGGTATTTCTTGAGCTTTATGGGGTTGATACAGACGTCCTATTTAGAGCTAAGCACCCAGCAGTCACTTACTCCTTAGCACTTTGACTAATTATAAGTCTGAGTTAACTGCTGCCAACTGCAAAAGGAAACTTTCCTGGCCGAGGCTGGAAATATGTGGGTATAAACAAATATTTAGAAGGCAGATTGACAGCATTTCTGTTTATCAAAACAACAGTAGTGGGCTGTACCACTAGGCTTTGTGTCCTTCCCCAGCCGTGAACTTTTGGTTAGTTTGCAGTACTAGGCACTAATTTGGTGCTTCTTAACCTTCATAAGGCCGTGACCCTTTAATACAGTTCCTCATGCTGTGGTGACCCCCAACCATAAAACGATTTTGGGTGCTACTTCGTAACTGCAATTTTGCTATTGTTATGAATCATCATGTAAATATCTGTGTTGTTTTTTTTCCCCCCAGTGGTCTTAGGCAACTCCTGTGAAAGGTTTGCTTGATTCCCTAAAGGGGTCACGACCCACAGGCTGAGAAATGCTGCCTTAATTTATTCCTGTGTAGCAAACCTCAAGTCCAATCAGAAAGCTGGTCATCCCCATAATATTTATGATGCCCCTATCGCATCATACATCTTGCCTTGGTGGTCAGGAATTCAACATTCAGGGTTCTGTGTTCGTTAATATTGATGTTTTGCCCAAGTACCCTGCATAGCACCTTCTGGCACTGTGAAAACCCGTTGGGGGATAGTTCACATATCAGTTCCAGCTTGATTTCCCTATGTCCAATAACAAAACTGTGTTGTATCTTCAACAATATGGTCTTCCCATCTAGTAAGAGCAACAGAAATAGTCCGTATTGTTTTGAGGGCCTCTAGGGCCACTCTGTCCAATAACATGTAAGGATGTATCCCAGAGTGGGCACTGAGATTTTCATTAAATGAATGGGGTTTTTTTTGGTTTTTGTTTTGTTTTGTTTGTTTGTTTGTTTTGTTTTGTTTTGTTTTGGTGGAATGCATTGTCCACGGGGAAATAAATAAATATAAATAAATAAATGCAGGTTCCCTGCTTCTCCTGGTTCCAGAGACACCCACATCATGTGCAGTGCCAGCCTCATCTCAGGGACATAATGGTGAAGGTCAGAGTGAACAGATTTGGCCATATTTTGTGCCTCTTTATCAGGGCTGCTCCTAGTTGCCAGTGGTAACTGGCATTCTAGCAAAGTGGATGTCGTCGCCCTCAGTGACCCCTTCAGTGACCTCAAATTCACAGTCTACATGTTCCGGTATAATTCTATGCACCACAAATGCTACTACACGGTCAAGGCTGAGAACTGGAACTGTGTCCAATCAGTAGGAAAGCTAGCTATCTTCCAGGAGCGAGTTCCCACCCACATCAAATATAATGCTGGTGCCAAGTATGCTGTGGAGTCTCCTGGTGTCTTTACCACCATGGAGGAGGCCAGCATCCACTTGAAGGATGGATCCAAAATTATTATCATCTGCCCCTTCTGCCGATGCCCCCATGTTTGTGATTGGGTGTGAACTACGAGAAGTGTGACAACTCACTCAAGATTGTCAGCGCTTCCTGCACCTCCAAATACCTATCCCCCCAAGCCAAGGTCATCCATGACAACTTTGAAATCGTGGAAGGACTCGTGACCACAGTCCGTGCCATCAAAGCCACCCAGAAGATTGGATGGCCCCTCCAGGAAGCTGTGGTGTGGTGGCCATGGGACTGTCCAGAACATCATCTCTGAATCCACTGGTGCTTCCAAGGCCGTGGGCAAGGTCATCTCAGAGCTGAGCAAGAAGCTCACTGCTATGGCCTTCCGCGTTCTTACTCCCAATGTGTCTATCCTGGCTCTGACATGCCGCCTGAAAACACCTGTCAAGTCCAATGACATCAAGAAGGTAGTGAATCAGGCATTAAAAGGCCCACTAAAGGGCATCCTGGGTTATACCTAGGATCAGATTATCTCCTGCAACTTTAATAGTGAAGCTCACCCTTCCACTTTTGGTGCTGGAGCTGGCATTGCTTTGTAATGATATGTAAATGACAGCTTAGGAAGGCTCATTGCCGGGTCTGATGACAAACACAGCTACATCAACAGGGTGGTGGACCTCAGGGCCTACACAGCCTCTAGGGAATAAGAAACTCTGGACCATCAGCTGCTGAGGAGTCACTGTCCCAAGTGATCCCCAATACTGAGCATCTTCCCTCACAGTTTTCATCCCAGACCCCGAGAAAAAAAACGAGGGACTTGGAGAACCCTCATCCCTTGAATACCACCAATACGCTTCACTGCACCCACCTTCAAGATTATATTTTTAATTAACTTATAAAATATAGTCTCTATAAAGCTTTTTCCTGCAGTCTTAGCTTTTTATTCATCTGCTTCCTACCCACCCATCGCTCCACTGCCCCATTCCCATGCCTACCTAAG